CTCAATATTAAGTAGCCCACACACAGTTCAGTCTCGCATCCTCTTCTTGTAAGTTCAGACTTCGCAAGTTTGATCAAGGCTGCAGTCTCCCCCTTCTCAGTTTGATATGGAAAACATACCGAGGACACGGGTAAATCTTCAAAGGGAACAGTGTACTTTATAACTTCATTCACATCACCTTGGCTACGTTGTTTCACTTTCTCAACAATAAAATGTAAACATGATTTAAGGAACTGCCTATTTTCTTTTTAATATTAGCAACTTAACAGACAGCAGAAATGTTGAGGCGCCGTGCTGTATATATGAGCGTCATATTCACTGTTTGGATATTTATAACAAAACGGAGCCGATAACAACTGCCTCCTTTCAATTTCAGTGAAAATACGAAACGCACCCTCTCTTTTGCTGAATATCAGTTTTAATAATCGATAATTATAAAAGTATAACAAACAATAAGTTTATACATTGTAGGAAATAAAGGCAAGCGATCAGTCAATGTACCTGGATTAATCATTAACTTATCTTTGCGCTTAACCAAAACATGTTACCCGTGAACAAGTAACTTAATAGATTCCAATGATCAAAGTCAGGGAATTGGCCTATGTCGTTAGATAAAGACAACAACATGAATGAAATATCACGTTTAGCAAATATAGTGAGATTAGATCCAGCGGGAGATGCTTGATGAGCAGTCCGACAAGCAGAGCTCTCATCTGGGTAGAAATGCTGGAGCGCTTGCCCGAGAGTGTGTGGGTGGTCACGTGATGTGCGTTTTCAGCGTTTTGGTGTGGACGGAGAGCTGTTCAGAAACGCTGGGTAAAACGCGAGTGTGGACGCGGATCGTTTTCATTCTACAACGCCGTTTTAAATCTAAAACGCACTAGTGTAAACGGGGCCTGAGTTGATCTCTCTCTTTCGTATGTTGTAGTGCTGTATTTATACCAATTTGCTTGCATATCAGGAATGTATGTTGTGTTTGCAGCAGGAAAGAAGCATTTAGCGTTTTTCCTTATCGCAAACACAAGCGCAGTCTGGTAGTGATTGTGTTGCTTTTTTACAGGGTTATTATTGTAATATCTCGAGAGAAATACTCCAGACTGTAACACTGTAAGAAGATATCTCTGTAGATGGATGGCATTTCATGTCATGTTTAATCTTTAAGTGTGAGCAAAATCAGCTGTTTTTTCACTTTAGACATTACTCTATAGAGAATCATTCAAACACTTGCTCTAAAGTGACAGTGGAATACTAACGGCTTCTGCTGTTTTGACGTCAGCTGCAGATGTGAATGAATGGTGGAAGAAAGTAGTTCCTACTAAAAAAGGGTTTTTTAGACGCTCCGTGTTTGATTTTCTTATTTATATACATGATTGTACCATCAAACTGTTGTAAAAATGCAATATCACACTCGTAGCAGTGAAACTAAGGCATGCCCCACCAGTGCTGATATAGAGCCATATCGCACTGCTACTCGTGTGATATTGCTCATATATATAAAGTCATGAAAACAAATATTTTATTTTATGTAATTTTTTTATCAGCTTTTTTTATAGATTTTTTAGCTAACATTCCACATTTAGGTAGCCTATGGCCTGTGACTGAGCTTATCTACAGTATATTAAAATGGTCTTGTTTTGTCAGTGTCTGAAAATTACATGATTACATGCTACCAAGATTTGAGACTTCCAATAGAGCAATTGTCAAATAATGCAGTAACACAGAACATTGACATTTTGCAATGTATATTATCAGGTGGCATGTTGGTTCAGTGGTTAGCACTGTAACTTCACAGCAAGAAGGTCGCTGGTTCCAGTCCCCGCTAGGAGCCAATTGGCATTTCAATGTGGAGTTTGCATGCTCTTCCCAGGGTGCTCTGGTTTCCCCAACAGTCCAAAGACATGCACTATAAGTGAATTGGATTAATTAAATTGGCTGTAGTGTATGGGTGTGTGTGAATGCAAGAGTGTATGAATGTTTCCCAGTATTGGGTTGCAGCTGGAAGGGCATTCGGTGCGTAAAAGAACTGCTGGAATAGTTGGCGGCTCATTCTGCTGATAAATAAGGCACTGAGCCAAAGGAAAATGAATGAAAAATTGTATATCATCTAAATATATCACATCAAAATGAGCAGACTAGGACTACAACTAGAATGTTTAAAGATCTTTGAACAGTTTGATTTAATGGTTTACTTTAATATCATAATCTGTTAAAAATTCTCCAAAGGTAAAAAAGTGAATAAAACTCTCTTTTGACATCTAAGACAGCAACTGCACTACCAACACAAGAAATAAGTACAAAACCTGTCACTGTGGTAATAGACTGCCTTTTCAAAAGGTACTCTTTTTGCATCTTATATCAATAAAAAATTTAGACAAGAGTCTACCCTAAAAGTATGAAATTGTACTTTTAAGGTTTCAATGTGCACATGTGTGTATAAAAAAGTGTACATTTTGAAAAGCTTCCACCCCGCTTACTCCAACCAATCACACTTTTAAAAGCATCTGGCACCATCTAGTGGTCATATCTAAACAGTTGCAATTTGAGGAGTGTGGTGCAAGTGTAGTATAGCGCAGTATGGTGTATGCTATAGCATGTGTGTGCGTGCGTCAAAAAGCAGCATGAAACCAATAATTAATATGTATAGATAATAATTACTTTATTAAATAAAATAGACATAACTGATTTGCTGCTTAATTAAATAAAGACAACTATATATATTTTAATGACGTTATTTAAAAATATATATTTATAAAGAGACATGTAAATGTCCTAAAATGTATTATATTTGAAAAGACATTAAAATCTGTTTACAGATAAACATGGTCTTATTTCAACTGGGTTCAAATGTTTAGATTTTCAAGCTCATTTTTTTTATTTGAGGGTCAAAACACATAAGAAAAAAATGTGTTTATAGTTGGAAAAAGTGTTGTTTATCTTACCAAAATCATCTTTTGTTTACATTTTCTGTTCATGCACCTTCATAAACTAAACAGAACCATCATTGCATTTGTTCAATACATCATACACACACTATTGTTAAAGTATATTAACATTACATACAACTTTTACATGTGAAACACTTAATACACTTTATTAGACTTGTTTTGGACTGCTGAAGATAAACACCTGTCTGTTGCCAAAGCTTTCAAATTCAAGATTTATAATATAATCCGATTGGGAAAAAAAAAGCCAGAAACACTAATAGTTATAGGATGCCGTGAGGATGAACAAACTGTGGATAACTATTATTTATTGATTATATTTATTTTCTATGGTCTTTGGTGATTTTTTTATTTTTTGGTGTTAAGCCTTTTTTTATTATTATTAATCTTTTTTCTTTAATTTCTTAATTCTAAATTCCAATATTTTATTTCAACTGATTTAATAGTTTTTTTTCTGTGTACTAATCCTTTAAAAGCTCTCTTTAGTGGTGATTCCAGACTTAATTTACAATACCAAACGATTACATCTGGAAAGATATTTTGTATGCCTATTTCTTTCCAGGAGGCTGCTTGGACCCATCAAATTCCTTGTGTCTTTACTTACATTATAGTTTTCATTAGTTATTTCTAACTACGTACTTTATCTGGCTAACATTTACAAAATAATATGCAGCAACATTCCCGTACGTGAAGAGATTGTAATCAGTAAAGTAACTTGTTAATGTAATTAAGCTACTTTTCCACAGGAAAAAAAAAAAAAAAAAATATATATATATATATATATATATATATATATACACACACACACACATATATATATATATATATATATATATATATATATATATATATATACTTTTCTAAAATAAATAATAAACATCTTGATTAACAAAGATTTTATAGGATTTTAATTAGTGCTACAACTGTTCCTATGGACTGTTGATACCAACTTGTGGTTTGAGTTTACTAAATGCCATATTCTATCATATGTACACCTATTGCAGCCGTTTAGTTTTACAAATGTGGATTTAATGTATTAAATATGTATACTATTTATACATTGACATATCTGAGATGTGTATAAAAATAAAAAAGGAAAGAAGGAAGGAAAGAAAGAAAAAGAAACAAACAAACAAACAAACAAACAAACAAACAAAAAAACAAAAGTATACATTTGTGAGTTCTTTATTTTATACAAGTGATTTCAAATGTTTCAGCTTCAATAATTCATATAAATGGATTCCTTCTGTTCGCTGATGCATGAAAGGTACAAAATTTCATATATCAAAAAATTAAATTTCAGAAATATACACTGAAATATTTTGATAAAGAAAATTGGAGATCATGCTAATACTAGTGCTAAAAAAAACAGATGTTTTGGACAAATCACATGGAATTATATACTGTTTGGTGTAATCATTTCAATCCTTTGAGTGTAATAAGAAAACATTTTTATGTCAAACAATTAACCTTTTCATACATCTTTTTAAAACAAATCAAATCATAGACCATTTTGGTCTTTTGATAGTTATGATTTCCTCATATGAAGGGCTGTGGGTGCATAGCACATGTTAAAAGTGCTATAAAAATGCATACATTCATTCATTTAAAATGATTTACATCATTTTTTTAAAAATCACTGTGATTTCCAACAAAGCAAAAAAGTATTGAGAGCAGAGGGTGCTCAACCTTGATTGTGTGTCCCAGTGTAGTGACAGAGACACTATTCTTTCAATGAGCATCTTCTTTCAAATGAAACGTTAAACCAAGGTTGGTCAGATGTTTATTCATTTTCTTTTTGGCTTAGTCCCTTTATTAATCAGGGGTCACCACAGCGGAATGAACTGCCAACTTTTCAAGCACGTTTTACGCAGCAGATGCCCTTCCAGCCACAACTTATCACTGGAAAACACCCACACACTCACATTTACTCACACTACGGCCAGTTTAGCTTAACCAATTCATCTGTACCGCATGTCTTTGGACTTGTGGGGTTAACTGGAACACCTGGAGAAAACCCACACAAACATGGGGAGAACATGCAAATTCCACACAGAAACACCAACTGCCCCAGCTAAGGCTCGTACCAGTGACCTTCTTGCTGTGAGGTGATCATGCTACCCACTGTGCCACGTGTTATGGTATTTTACTCAAAGTCCAGCTGTATTATTAATGTAACAGTAAATAGGACAGTCTGGAACATCTCCCTGTTACTGATTCATCATTCAGCTCAATTTATTTTAAATCATTAACACAGTTTTACAGATGATCGAGGATCAACAGTAAAACCAGGATAGAGCGGCTGAGTGAATGTGGTCTGGACAGTGTGGATGAGGCTCATTGTGTCAAAGATGCTGTAGAAGGACAGAGTTCCTGCACCTACATCCACATAGACTCCTATCCTACGGCTAATGGGCTTTAGAGGGAGATCAGACCTTTTTTTATTGTGCCATAATGAGTATCTGGATGTAGAACAGAACAACCCCCAGGACTGATCATTACCGCCAAACACACACTCATTACCAAATCCCTTCCTACTGATGCTCTTATAAGACACTGATATACACACACCTTTAATTCCACTCCACTCGATTTCCCAGTAACAGCATCCACGCACACTCTCTCTACACAACACCTGACGCCAGCTGTCAAATCTGTCTGGATGATCAGGATACGGCTGCTCTGTCTCAGTACAAATAATCATTCTGTTTCTCTCAGACAGATGGAGGAGTTTATGTGCTGTGTTCAGATCCAGAGTGAGCTTGTGGGAATCTGATGGAGAAACAAAGAACAAATTTGAATCAGCAATAAAGAACCTATTTTATCCTTTAATCCTCTGGTATTGTTTATTGGGGGGGTAACACTTTGTTCAGTCATTTTACGTTTAAGGAATTACTTTTCATTTCAATAATTTTCCTTTACTGGTACTTGGTATAACATTAATGAAATTAATACAGAGATTCATTTTATAATCTGATTTCAACCTTTTATCTGGATCTTCTGGCTGGAATTACTCTATTTTAATTACAGTATTTACAAGGGATGTCCCAATCAGGTTTTTTTGCCCTCGAGTCCGAGTCATTTGATTTTAAGTATCTAGCGATACCGTAACCCGATCCGATACTTGTATAATACCTAAAAAAAGAAAAGAACAAAGAGCGAAGAAACAGATCCAGACTGTTTCTTTTTTTTTATTATTATTATTCACCTTATTTTAACATTTAACAACTCTGTTAACAAACAGAGCACTACTGTATAGTAGCTTGAACAATCAAGTAATAAATAACACATTTTTCACTTTTGGACTTTAGTGCAACAGTAAATATATAAAAATCTCATTTTAAAACAAATTGCACCTCAACTTAAAATAACCGGCAGGCATGTGGTGAAAAAAAAGTGCCAGTGTTTGTAAAGCCACACTGTTAAAAATTGTCCCGTTAAAAAACAGTAAAATACTGGCAGCTGCAGTTGCCAGCAATGTACTGTTATTTTACAGTATGTTGCTGTAAAAATACATGGACTACATTGATTTACACAATACTCAAGGGAACTCATTTTGCTCACTGAAAGCAACTGCCTCAACTTGGTCAACTGCTGAATGAGTTTATGAAGTAATGTGCTATATATGCTTAGAAGCATGCTTATAATGATAACTTATTTTAGTTAATTAGAAAAGTTCGGTTTAACTCTAATGTCTTATTTTTCACAACAGCACACATACATGTAAATCTGGAATCACCAGAGAGATTCTGACTGCATCAGCAACTAAACAGCCGCTGTCTTTAAATAGAGAAACATGCAGAATAACATCAGTAGTTCATTGTTCATCTTTAACTCATACACTGGCTCTACTCTCCTCCACAACGGTGACATACAGAAGAAATTAGCTTCAGGTTTTACAGTAAAATACTGTTTTTTCCTTGATTTAACAGTAATCTACTGGCAGCTGTGGTTGCCAGCAATCTACTGTTTTTTTACAGTCTATTTCCGTAGTGTAAATTAACAGTATATTCCTGTTAAAATACATTTTTACACTGTGTTTTTACCTCTCACACTTTTAACCCTTTAAACCCCAGAGCATATACTTCAGTTTTTATTGAAGTGTCCACACTACTGAGTGTTCAAGAAACATGTAGCAAAGCTGAAGTAAATTCATTAATTAACTGACTAATTAAATGATAATTGAGGATTAACAATGAACAAATGAAGAAATACTGAAGGGAAAAAACAAGAACAGAACATACAAAACTTTAGTCACAGCTTTATAATGAAATAACCTGAAGAACAACAAATGATTAAATCATTTAAATGATCAGCGGATGATTAAACAACTCTACAAACATCATCACCTGCTACACTTATTACTTAATACATGTATTTTTGTATAACATCTACTAAAGTTCTTCTTGAGAAAAAGTAAAAGTTTTACGTCACCATCATGGAGAACAGAGTTTACTTTAGTTGGGCTCTTAGCCCTGACATTTTTAACATTTATATATATTGGCTGCTGCAATTGTTAAGAACTTTGTTTTAAAAGCTCTTTTGTTGAGGCAAGCCAGCCAAAAAAATAAAAAAAAACCTGGTGATGTTCATGTTGCTATTAAATGGCAGAGTCTGTTCTCATTTACTATAATAAAATGTACTGCTCCTATTCAATGTTATATCTATTGTTTTACTTTATATGGCAATGATTTCTGGAAGTTTTTAAGAATATCTTGGACAATAACACTGCTCTATGGTGTAAATTGCACTCAAAGAGACATCAATAATCAGCATATGAACCTCAATAATGGTGACAACTAACAAAATTAACAGTTTAACTCACAAACAGGAAACTGAAAGTCTAAACATAAACAACAGCAGAATCAAACACAAATAAAGAAAACTGTTAGACCGTTATACAACATTTATTTATACCGCAATGCATGCTGGGATATTTGTACCGTGCCACTCCCAGCATGCATTGCAGCATGAAACATTTGAGATGTTACCATTGTTGAGATACAAGGTCAGATTCATCAGGTCTGAGTGTGTAGTTGTCATGACTGAACTGTTTTTGTATGTTATTTCTTAACTGTTAAGTAATTACGGAGGTATCTTTTCTGTTTCCACTTCTCATTAATTAAATTAATACCTGCAACTAAGCATAAAATCTATTGCATGAGGCCCTTCATCCAGATTTATACCATAACATTTATCAGAACTAATTTCAGACAAATAGATTTCTCTATTTATTGACTTCCCAACTTTATTGCTATAGTTCAAATGTTTTGTAAACTCTGTATTACAGCAGTTGGAAAGTCTTAATAAATGAGTTCAAGGGTGAAGAGCCCAACTAAATCAGCCCCTCACTCTATTACGGTGACACAAAAAAAACACCTTAATTTCTGTTGGATCTCAATGAGAATAGTATGGAAGTCAAATCAGTCAGTAATAAGTGTGTGTCTGCTGTTGTTTGTGGAGTTGTTTAATGATCCTCTGCTGAGACTGAAGCTGTTTTATTTTATTTTATTTTATGTTGTAACTCAAGTCACTGTTTGTGTTTCTTGTTTCTCTTTCCTACAGTAATTGTGATTATTAACAGCAGGTGTTCATCAGTGTCTGAATTCACTCATTAGTGTTCATTAACTCTGTCAGGTGAACTATATTGGTGAACTAGTTGATGAAATAGTGAACAAGGGCACAAAGTGTGATTTTAAACACAGACTTCAAAACATCGAATCTGAACTCTGTTAGCTCACAGTTTTCTGCAGTTGGTTACTTTCTCGAAAACAAAAATGTGTCCCAGCAAGCACTGTTTTTAACAGAATATTACTGTTTTAGTAAAAAAACATTATTTTACCGTAGAATCTGACCGTTTTTTAACAGCAATTTTTTACAGTGCAGTAATATGCATTTAGGAAGTGCACTCCTAACTCTTACTGTCATCACAGTAGAAAGTTTCACAGAAGGAAATGTGTTTTTCTTGATGAAAACTCAGGTTTGAGCCTGTTTCTGTTCTCATCAAAGATGTTTGCAACAGCACTAAGATCTCTCATTAACCTTAGTTCTGATCGGGAGGTAATGTCTGATTCCGATCAAGTCTGAAACTGCGTGATCGGGGCCGATTTTAAAATACATGATCAGATCTGGACATCCCTGGTATTTACATTACAATTCTTCAACTTGATATAGGTACCTGTGACCATTTCTGAACTCTCTAGGGGTCTCTACCAACACTTTTAAAGACCAGGTAGTGGACCTGCAAGGGCTGCCAGTGGAGAAGGCAGATTCAGCCCTTTCCTTGCTGTGTTTGATGTGCAATCTGTGCCTCATGTGGACCTTAAGATCCTCTGAGCAGCTCTTCATCTGTTACGGGTTGGCAGAAGGAAAATGCTGTATTTTAACAGAGGTTTGCTCACTGGTTAACGGATGCCTTCACCCTCGCATACTAATGCCGAAACAAATTTCAACTCTGCTAGTAAGTTCCCCATCCGGTGAACCCTAGGGAGTTCCTCCGAGGCCCTCAACCTCTGACTCAGCAGAGGAGCTGGATGCTTGGCCGATTACGTTGTTTTGTATACCTGCTTGGTCAACCGGTGTATTGGGGATTGGTGCCTGCTATGCGCATTCCCTCTCCATAAAGCTATATACTTAGTTAGACAAGGTGAAGTCAACTCCTAGACTGAACCGATATCTTTCCTACAAGCTAACCATTTTGCTCATACTGTATGTAGTGCCCTTTTTCATTTAGGGCTAGCTCATATTTGCTTATTGTCACAGTATCTCCCCACTTAGGTAGATAGTGAACCCCGCAGCATCCCTACCACTTCAGGACTGGGATACTTCCCCAATGTGCCGTCCTGTAAAAAAAAATCCAAGCACTTCAACTAGGTACAAAGCATTTACAAACTCCCTTGATAATTCTAGTATTCCCAGATTCTGCTGATATAAAGGGTCAGGGGATATTGGGAGGTTGCCCCTTTGGTGACGTTATGCACTTTTCGCTTGACAAGTTTCTTACCAAACGTGTGACAGATTCGACTACTGTGGCGCTTTCCATACAATAACCCATAATGTTGTTTCAACATTATCTTGGAGTTCCAGACTTGAAAAGGAACATCTTATTTACTGTCATAACCCTTGTTCCCTGAAGGAGGGAATGGAGACATTATGTTCCAGTGCCACAATGGCCCATCAGCCGTAATGTAGCAGTGACACTAGAGTTTGAGCTTGCGAATTAGCGAATGGTCTATATTTTAAATTTCTGTCCAGAGAGGTCATGTTTTGATCCTCAATTGGTCTCATGGAGTCACCAAGAGTTTACCAAGCTTGAACTTCGCAATGCAGTGAACTGTGAAACTTGTCGCACAAGCTTGTGATCCGGTCTGGCGCATTTCTGTGCATATGACTGGAAGTCTAGGGGGAGAAAAGTGCAGTGTGACCGCAGCTTAAGTTTGACAGAAGCTCCTCCAGGTGCTGCTTAAATACTCGGCTGATTAATAGCGGTTCCACCTGAGCTTCTCTGCCAATTCATAGACATTCATTGGCCCATTAACTTACTCTCAAGAGTGATTGGTCATCTGGCGATAACCTATGAAGTTGTTTCGACGTAATGTCTCTTTTCTCTTCTTCAGGAAATGAGGGTTACAAAATTAACCATGACATTTTCTGCTTGTTTTCTTAGTGACTTACATTGTAGGAAGTCGTTCCTGGTCTTGGGAACCGTTTTGGTGACTGTGGAAATCAACAGACATAATTAGTGTGTCATTTGAAAAGAACAAGATGTTTCAAATATGATGTTGTACATGACATCAGTTGATGAAGGGCTAATTTCTGAGAGCAGATGAATCTCCAGGACTTTACAGTACCTCTCTCTGTGAATTTCTCAATCTCCTCTATGCAGAAATCCTCCAGTTTGACTTTCAGCTGAGAAACAGATTCTCTCAGGCCATCAAAACACAAGAGAGAACTGAATGAAACATCTGTAGATTCAGGAGGAGCTGAGAGAGACTGGAAACTCTGCAGAAAACACAAATCAACATCACCACATCCACAATAATCAATCCTCAACCTCACAATATTGCTGTTCTTTTGGATCTCTGTTACCTGCAGGAAATGGATGTGATGTTGTGTGTGTGAAAGTTGCTCCAGCTCAGTGTTTCTCCTTCTCAGATCTTCAATTTCCTGCTCCAATTGCTCCATGTGTCTTTCAGCTCGACTCCTTATAGTCTTTTCCTGATCTCTGATCATCTGTGTGAGCTCAGAGCGTCTTTTCTCAATGGAGCAAATGAGCTCAGTAAAGATCCTCTCAGTGTCCTCCACTGCTGTCTGTGCAGATTGCTGTTAAACACAGTGAGCGTTAGACACAGTGAGCTTCGGAGAAACTTGACAAGCTCCAGCAGAGTCAAACTAAGGCTAAGACAAACTTCTTCTCCTAACTCACCTTATGAGACTCCACTGCCGCTCTCAGCTGCTGAAGATCTTTTTGTCTCTGCTGGAGTCTCTCCTGGAGCTTTACCAGTGTCTCCTTCAGCTCTTTCTGAGGAACAAACAGATACAGTAACAGCAAACTGCTCTCACAAAACCAGTAAAGATATTTATAGTTTCATGAGATTAGATTACAATTGAAAATGAAGCTGAGGTGTCACCATTATTTAGGCAGTGTCTAGTTTATAGTTAGAATTAATCCAAAAGTGTAGATTATTTTACCTATATCTTTACTTGCACTCATATTGTTTAAAACTTGTGCTTTTCTGAAGATATTGTAAATAATGCCTCAGATGTTTAAAGAGTTCAAATCAAATATGTTGCCAACAATAACCTCAATTTTATTGGATTCTTGTATGACAGTCAAAATACTTTAACTTGATTTGGTGTGTGACTGGTAACGAGATTTTGCTCCCTCTGGTAATGTGGTTTGTTGAGGAAACCCATTATCTGTATCCAGACCAGCCCATGGAGCTCTCAAACTCAACACTGTGTATAATTTAGACTTTATTATTCATCTATACTAAATAAGATTTATCTGTGATATTGATATTGTGCATTTATTTCTGAATTGGCCTTTATTGTTTGATTCAGTAATTGGCATGATATCTTTATTTTCCAGATAAAAGTGTAATTAAATGAAGTGTAAAAACAGCACAGAGGTAGCTCAGACTCTACAATCTACTGGATATAATGATTTCAGGAGAATTCAGAACGAATCAAAACTCATTCATTTGATTCATTCTAATTTCTCCTGAAATCATTATATCCAGTAGATAGTGGAATCTGAGCTACCTCTGCGCAGTTCATTCATTAATTTTCTTTTCGGCTTAGTACCTTTGTTAATCTGGGGTCGCCACAGCGGAATGAACCATCAACTTATCCAGTTTATGTTTTTTTATGCAGTGGATGCCCTTCCAGCTGCAACCCATCACCGGGAAACAACCAAACACTCTCACTCACAAACATACACTACATTACAGCATGAATTTCTGTTTAATCACTAATATTAGCTACTTGCATGAAAAATGACTAAATTAACTAGTTTTTTTTAGCTACAAGTGAGCAGAAGAAAACTGAACAAAGAGGTATTAGTTAACCCTTCCTCATGTGACTAACTTTATAACGCTGAGTGTATGTCAGAAATAATGGAAACCCAGGGTGTGAAATTCTAAGAATTTGGTCCCTAATGAATGTAAGTAAAGCAAGTAAAAATGCATTTGTATAGCACCTTTCACAGAAAATAGTCACAAAGTGTTTTACAGTTGGTAAAAACGTCTCGGGTTACATATGTAACCATAGTTCCCCGAGAGGGAACAAGACACTGCGTCTAACCAAAACGCTAGGGGATCACTTCTTTTATACGCGTCTTGAAGAACATGTGAAATCAATCTAATGTAATAAAGCAAATAACTTCAGTGTTAACTTCAAATTTGCTTGAAAGAATTAACAGGCAGAAGAGAGTATGGCGGAAGACGCAGTGTCTTGTTCCCTCTCGGGGAACTATGGTTACATCCGTAACCCGAGACGTTCCCCATCTAGGGAACTTCAACACTGCGTCTAACCAGAACGCTAGGGGAACGCAATACCCACTAGGCCAGACTCACTGCTGACTGTGAACGCACACTACGCAGTGAGAATAGAGGACCCTGGTGAAAGGTCTACATCGAGTTGATAGTGACACACAAATGTATGTGGTGTCGACCATCCTGCCGCCAAACAAATGTCAGAAAGGCCAGAGCCCAAAATAGAAGCTTTGGAGGCCACTACAGCCCTTGTGGTGTGGGCCTTAACAAATTTAGGTGCGGGACGTCCAGCAGCCTGATAGGCAATTGAGATAGTCTCAACTATCCAATTACTTATTGTATTTACTTATTTGCCGGACTCTCCCTCTTTGAGGGTCCGAAGCAGACCAGTAACTGTTCACTCTTTCTCCAGTTGATAACCCGGTTAACGTATGTATTTAGGGGGGAACGGTAAGCTGCTATAGCTGACACGTATACTCTCAGAGTGGATGCAGCTAACCCAGCAGACAGGCAATCTTGGAGAAATTCCAGCACTGAGACTACCTGACAGCTGAGTGGGTTCAGCTGGTGTTCTCTGCACCAAGCTGAAAAGACAGCCCATTTTTGGGCATAAAGCTTCCTTTGTAGAGGGAGCCCTGGAACTTCGAATGGTCTGAGCAACCTCGGTTGACAGTCCAAACTCAATGAGGTGGGCCCCCTCAGAGGCCACACCCACAGTTTCCACAGGTCGGGTCGGGGATGAAGTATCATTCCTCCCGCCTGGGACAGAAGGTCCCTCCTGCTGGGGATCTCCCACGGGAGACCCGCCAGCAGGGCTATGAGGTCTGAAAACCAAATTCTTGTAGGCCAAAACGGGGCTACCAGCAGGAACTGGACTCAGTTTTGACGGACCCTCTCCAGGACTCCTGGGAGCAAAGCGACCGGGGGAAAAGCATACAGATGTAGCCTCGGCCATGTCTGAACCATGACATCCAGTCCCAGTGGGGCTGGATGCGAGAGAGAAAACCACAGTACGCAATGCGGGGTCTCTTGGGAAGCAAACAGGTCAACCTGCGCTTTCCCAAATTTTTCCCAAATGGTCTCCACCACCTTGGGGTGAAGTTTCCATTCCCCGGATCTCACCCCCTGTCTCGACAGGAGATCTGCTCCCATGTTCAGATGGCCCTGGACATACATTGCCCTAATGGACGGAATTTTGTTCTGGGCCCACAGGAGGATTCAATGAGCTAGTTTGCATAGCATTCGAGACCTCAGACTCCCCTGATGGTTGATGTAAGCGACCACCAATGTGTTGTTCGTGCGGACTAGAATATAATGGCCCCTTAGATCTGGGAGAAAGTGTTTTAAGGCCAGAAACACAGCAATCATCTCCAGGCAGTTTATGTGCCAGTAACGATTATGTTCTCCCTATCGTCCCGCTGCGGGAAGCCCCCTCAGGGTTGCTCCCCAGCCCGTTAGAGAAGCATCTGTCATAAGCATGATGCGATGATAGACAGCCCTCAACACTGGGCCCTGGGACAGAAACCAGGGCATTTTCCACATACTAAAGACTCAAAGGCTGCGCCGCGAGATCTTAATCATGCGAAAAGGATTCCCCTTGAGGGAAAACTTGCTGGATTTAAGCCCCCACTGCAGGGGTCTCATGTACAGCAGACCAAACGGAATCTCGCTGGCTGCTGCCATGAGACCCAACAACCTCTGAAAGTGTTTCACAGTGATGAACTGGCCTAGTTTGATTCTGTGTACGGCTGACTGAATCAACGTGATTCGTGGCGGGGACAGACGAAGGAATGGTTTCTGTTTAGTCCTTGAATTGTCAACTCCCCATGTCTTTTCTGAGTTTCTGGCATTTCCAGTGCCCTTAAAGTAAGTGTTTTAAATAAATACGTGTATTTTGATACTTCCAGAGTGTAATGTGTTTGTGGAGAGTTCAAGTTCATGTACAACTCCAACACTTCACCATACATTCTCATGAGCATAAGATAACAGAGTCACTCGATTATGATGAAATTATTGTAATTTACAAGATGTCTATGTATTTTTATTTAGGATAACTTGTTTGAGACGTGCTCGCATCATCATGGAGTCCCATGGCACACCTGAAAAAATGGTCGTCCTGGCTGGAACAAGCCCAATTTTTGCGGTGTTCAAACGAAACCCCAACCTTCTGATATGAGTGAGAACTACACCTCGATGTCGACCTGCCATATTGTGAGTCTAAGCTAGAATTAGCCAATCGTCTATGTAGTTTAGGATACGTATCCTAAACTACATAGTGCAGGCTTTTATACTCTCTGGTCTGATGACACCTGCTTAATTACATTAGATTGATTTCAAATGTGCTTCAAGACGTGGATAAAAGAGGTGATCCCCTAACGTTCTGGATAGACGCTGTGTTGAAGTTCCCTAGATGGGAACATATATTAAAACAAGTTAAAATTCAAATACAATATCAGCTAATCTAAAAACGAAAAAGATTTCCAAAAAGCTTTTAAATGTTGAGTCTTTAAATGGTCTTTTAAAAAGTTAAACTGAGCCCAGAGTTCTCAATGCTTGAGGAATAGTGTTCCAGAATGTCCTGGTTACGTCCGTAACCCACGTTCCTCGAATAGTGAATGAAGACATGTGCCTGGACAGAGTCCAGCTCCAACCTGAGATGAGAGAAGCTCTGCTCGGTGGAGAGCCTGCTCATGCGCGGTTGACCCAAAATCCGAACAGGCCGAGGTGCCGGAGCACCAGGTCCCTGTGCATAATTCCTCCCTTTTGTGACCCCTCCTTGGCCAAGTCCTCCACTCCTCATCTTCCTGCATCCTTCCTGGTTCTTCCATCCTGTGTTTTCTGCTCAACTACTCGTTCTCAGGCTGTTTCTTAATATGCATTCTTCAGTGGTCTTGCGCCCTCATGTTCTCGTGTAACATCATCATCAGCTGCCAAAGTTCAGTTCCAATACTCAGCACCACAAGAGCGCAGGACGCGTGAAACTTCCCGGATGTGATCTTTATATCGAGGACGCACTGCTGCAGACTTGAGCACTGAACTCACTCTGGAAGTCCCAGAAGTCATTGCGACTGGAGGTGAGAATCGCAGCATTTTATTTAGATTGATTATTAAAGTTCAGAGATATCACTTATTTACCTCAGGAGTTTCCCTGAATGAAACGGTGAAAGTAAAAATCACCATGGACATCTTAATAATGGAATAAACACATTAAGGGTGTTTGTTTGCTGAAATTCGTATTAAAATCTATTTTTATTTCTATTGTGCAGAGTATATTTATAATGTTTTTATGCAAAGTATATATTTTGAAAAGGGGAAAAACAATAAATCATTGTATGAATGCTGTAATGTTTAAATAATCAGTGAAGATCATGTGACCATCAGGAAGAATGCAGCATCTCATTTCTCAAAGGACGCGTTCTCTGCCCTCCCGGTCTCCTGAGTTCATTCTTTCGAGGACACCTAGCAAGACCACTTTCCACAAGAACACAAGTCCATTCTCTGCGTTCTTGGAATTAAGAAACAGCCTATAGCTCCTCTCCTGGCTCCTCCCTCCTAGGACTCCTCCCTGGCTCCTGCCTCTCAAGCCTACTGTGTGTTTTATGCTGAAGGCGCGAGGTCGTGCCTTAAAAAGGTAATATCAGGTAGATAATGTCAGGTGTCTGTGTTGTGTTCCAGTTGCTTTGGTTTTTGTCATGTGATACGCTTATTCCGTTTTCCATTCACATATTCGTTGTGTGTTAATGTTTCAGTGTTTCCTCTTGTGTCTTTCTCCTGTGTGTAATTCAGTTCAATCATGCCCTGTGTATTTAAGCTCCTGGGGCCTCATGTATCAACGCTGCGTACGCACAAAAACTTTGCGTACGCCAGGTTTCACGCTCAGAATCGCTCACGTTTGGATTTACTAACAATGAACTGAACGTGGGAATGTGCGCAGGTTCACGGCAGCTTTCTGGCAGGCGTACGTGCGTACGCACATTTTTTGTGCGTGTCTGTTTTATTTCCATTGGCGACTGCCTAGAGGCAGTTGTGTTAAATTCCTCTCTACAAAGTGTCTGATCCTTGCAATGGCAGCTGTATGAGACGGGTTCATATAGTAGGTATGTAAGATTTCCATACCATACAGTTGACCAGCTAAACATTAAAGCGCAAATTGCAGCAGTCGCAATGTAATCTGAGCAATCTACCGCACACACATTGCTATAAAGACACTATCTGAAGATGAATTTGCATGCGTGAATCAGAAACATTTCCATTCAATAAATGTGCAAATAAAATATGATGCACAAACTTATTGATGATTCCTACTTGTCTTTCTCTTGATAAATAGTGGGCAAAATCTGATATGTAGCGGGGGAAAAAAGAATAAAGAATTTATCAGACGCTGGATTCGAGCCGAGTTGACGCTCGAATATGTCTGTACATGATCTCATGCTTCTTATGAGGTGCGCCACTGAGACCGCTTAGGGTACTGCAACATTTTTCAGTTATAAACCACACTATTTCTTTTTTAAATGCACTCAGTGCGATGTTCAGACCCAACTGTGTTAACCGTATCAGCTAAACTCCCACTCTATTTTTTTCTTTTGTTGTTAATTCCGGAGAACAAACTTGCAAATAACACCGCTTTTCTCCGGTCTACCTCCGAAAGCAGCACCTCCATTTCACATTCTGTTCAAAGTTTCTCTTTTTGCTTGATTTTGCCGTTGCTTTTTCGTTGGGTTTTCCATTAGCATAGTCATTAGCATATTCATACGGGGGAGGAGGCAGGGAGGGGTTTTGTGCTCGTGCATGTTGCGCTCAGTTTTACGTTTATTCAGATGTACAAAAGAATATGCGTGAGATTCGGCGTACGCAGTGTTTCATACATCTGAATTTTTTTCTGCGTACGCACATTTACAGCTTTGTGCGTACACAATGTTTTAGTAAGATTTCCACGCAAGTCTTCGTACATGAGGCCCCTGGTTTCTGTTTAGTCCTTGAATTGTCAACTCCCCATGTCTTTTCTGAGTTTCCAGCATTTCCAGTGCCCTTAAAGTAAGTGTTTTAAATAAATACGTGTATTTTGATACTTCCAGAGTTTCATGTGTTTGTGGAGAGAGGACGAGACAACAACTTCATGTAGTGAAGTTCATGTACAACTCCAACACTTCACCATACATTCTCATGAGCATAAGATAACAGAGTCACTCGATTATGATGAAATTATTGTAATTTACAAGATGTCTATGTATTTTTATTTAGGATAACTTGTTTGAGCTCCAAAATAAGTTGAACTGGTAAGTATATCTGTTCTTAAACATCCCATCATGTAAATTTTTGTTTAAGAATAATGATGAAGTTATTTTAATTTAGTCCATACTTTAATAATAGTACTGTAATGATAATAAGTTGCAACTTATTTTTTAGAAGAACAGATGAACAGAGACTGCATGCAACAGCACACAAAGTAAAATTTGATTTATTTTTTTGGAGTTTCAGAGGAAAACTAAAAAAATACCAGACTACCTCTGAGATAAAAATAAATAAATAAATAAATAAATAAACAAGTTTGATTTTTTACAAAAACAGTAAGACTGAATTATGAACAAAACACCAAAAACAAGCAGAAATATCCGGGTCAACAAGTGTGTTATTTCTGTGACTCAAGAAATGAAAGTAGGCAACCTGTTTTTTGTTTATTTTAGGCTTACACAAAGAGCTGTGTCTGTGTCTGTGTGTGTGTGTGTGTGTGTGTATGTGTGTGTGTGCGTGCGTGCCTGCCTGCATGCGTGCGTGTGTGTGTGTGTGTGTGTGTTTTGTATTACACAAACAAAAAAAATAAGACTTTTACTCATTAATTGTTCTTCTATTTCTGACTTTAACTATGTATGTTTTAGGTACTATTTACACCTATGTAAGACTAATATATATATATATATATATATATATATATATATATATATATATATATATATATATATATATATATATATTCATTCTAATATTGCAAAGAAAAAAGAAAGTCAAATGGCTTTTTACAGACAGCATTTAATCAACTTTATTGAGTAAGTTTTCATTTAAGGGTGAGAGGTTCGTACCTGTTTCTCTGTCCTCTGGGCTACAGCTGATACAGTTGCGTGGTTTTTATGTTCATACTCCTTACACAGCTCACAGATGCACTGTTGGTCAGTAATACAATAGACTTCTAGCTCTTTCTCATGTTTTGGGCAGATCATGTCCTGCAGTCGTCCAGTTGCATCAATCACTTTGTGTGGTTTACGAGAGTGAAACTCCTCATGACGCTCAAAATGAGTTTGACAGTAAGATTCCAGACACTGCAGACAGGACTTGATGGCTTTGTACTTTGTTCCAGTACAGGCATCACACTGCACATCTTCAGCTCCAGCATAACAGTCAGCAGGAGGTGTAGTCTTCTTTAGTTTGTCGACCACTTCAGCTAGCATGGTGTTTTTAGCTAAAGCAGGTCTTGGACTAAAGGTCTGTCTGCACTGAGGGCAGCTGTAGATTCCCTTCTCATCTTCCATATTCCAGAAGTCTGTAATACAGCTCTTACAATAGCTGTGTCCACAGTGAATAGCCACCAGATCCTTTAGGAGATCCAGACACACTGGACACAAGAATTCATCCTGAGAAAATCTGGTTTCTGCCATTTTACTAAATTAATATAAAGAGGCGCAAACACACAGCAGCTCAACTCACTTTAAGTTTCACTTTCCAAGAAATCACATGCTGAAATAAATTCCTGCTTCTGTGTGCGAGTCACGTGTGTAAAACAGGTGTGTCTGTAAAGCAGGTTTATCATTTTATCAACCCATCTAGCAATGATCATTCTCTTAACGTTGGCTAATATTCTGTCATGGTTCTTTCAAAGTTGTGAAAAGACATTCTTTCAGCAAAGTTTACAGAATGATTGTTTAAAGTTTAGTTTTTAAAGGTGCCATATACTACAAGGATTCAATAACTTAAATAGTTCTTTAATATTTATAAGGGTTAGAAATTGAAACAGATATGTCTGATTTTAGACCACAATAATTCATTAATAAAGTGTAGGGCCTCTTTTTGTGGCTAATATGGCATCAATTTGTCTTGGGAATGACAGATACAAGTCCTGCACAGTGGCAAGAGTGATCTTGAACTACTCTTCTTTCAGAATAGTGGCCAGGTCACTATGTGATGCAGGTGGAAAAAAACATTTCCTGACTCACACCTCTATAACACCCCAAAATGGCTCAATAATATTGAGTTCTGGTGACTGTGTAGGCCATGACAAATCAACTTCACTTTTATGCTAAACATAATACTCCATTGGGTGCACATGGTCCTCCAGAATGGTTCGGTAGTCCTTGGCAGTGATGTGCCCATCTATCACAAGCATTGGGCCTAGGGAATGACATGATATTGCAGTTCAAATCATCACTGATGCACCCCTATGCTTCCCTCAGGGCATGCAACAGTCTGGGTGGTACAATTCTTTGGGGCTTCCCCACACCATAACTCTTCTGGGTGTGGGAAAGACAGTGAAGGTGGACTCATCAGAGATCAATACAAGTTTTATATTGCACACAGCTTAAGGTTTTTGCTGCTGGAATATTTGATTCTGATTGGTCAGTCGCAAAACTCCATTGTATGTAATTCCAACATAACCACTGAATCTAATTACGCAGGCTCATCCAGGTTCTTTAATTCACCTTGAAGTCAGTGAATACGTTCACATCTACACACTTACAGCAGGGCCGGAGTGGGACACTTTTTCAGCCCTAGAGTTTTAAGCCTTAGACCGGCTCACCTCAGTTCACGACTAACCATATCAAAAACCATTTCCAGTTCAGTTTCCAATGACACTAACACATCTTTTTCAAGTAAACAGCTGCTTTAGAAATTCAAATATCACAATGTCTCTTCCTGCAACATCTGAATATATATATATATATATATATATATATATATATATATATATATATATATATATATATATATATATTGTGCAAAATTATTTATAGATATCCAGTTCTTTGTAATGGTGGTCACACAAAAAATAAAATATGTACACATACATACACAAGCCAAATAGTATTATATGTCTTAACACTTAAAATAAAAAATGAAAGTAAAAAACATACTCAGGAGAGGTTCAAAATCGAGTCAGTGGCATCGTAATGCAACGTGCTGATCACTGGACCACAATGGCGCTATTATGCTAGTGCGTTTGGATTAAAAACTAAGTATTGTTATCTGCAAGACCACAGTTTTACTTTCTATTGATCTTTTTTTATTTCCTTTTTAGATTTCTGATCAAGTTATGTCAGATTTATTATTGTTGTGAATCATCTGATTTTCATTGAGAAGGTGTAATATTCATTAATATTAATTATTGGAATTCTTATATTCACTAAGGTGCCTCTGTTTGGAGTCGAATAATAGTAACGTCATCATTAACCTGCAGGCTGCGTTTTGCTCACGGGGCTGCGAGACAAAAAATAAAAAGAGCGAAGCTGTGGCAAAATAATGAATAAAAAGAGTGAGGATATGGTCAAATAAATAAATAAATGAAAAAAGTGCAACTGCTGAGAGTGCAAGCAGCTAGGGACACCGGCCCTCACAGCCAAAAACAGACCGGCCAACCGGGAATTCTCCCGGTCCTCCCGATTAGCTAATACGAGCATGACTTACAATACATCCACATTAATATCTGCTTGTCTGTCACTGCTGTTTTTGACCTTTTTGGTGGGTTTTGCCACTGAATAATAGATAGGTTAGTGTAGGTTCCATTTAGCTCAATTTATTTCTGTCAGCTTTGCATTTTTGACAATTTGGCGCCATCTTCTGACTAAATAATTCATGGTTTAGTGTATACACCATCAGCTGTTTTAGCTACTGTCAATAATTAATAAACTAATACAGCTCAGTAGAATAGCTTATGTCTTGTTTGTATGTTTTGTCGTAAGTAGCCGTGTAATAAGCAGGATAAAGTACATCTAGGCAGTTGTTTTCACAGAATAAAGCCCTTCAGGCTTATACAACATCACTCTGCTTCGCATCAGGTTGCCGATGAGTCTGTGAGGTTTTATTCTGGGTAATAACAACCCTTCTTGATGTACTTTATCCCTTACATGTGTAAAGAGACGATGTGGGCACTACAAGACCCAGCAGGCTTAGTGCCATGTAAGGAAGTGTTGTTGTTTACGTGCAGACAATTTATTTCCTGGTTGCAGGCGTAAATTAACAACAGGTTGTACAGAGCTCAGCACTATAAAAGTGAGTCATAAAGTTTGTATGCCCTTTTGCCTCTCGGTTTTGCATTCTAGTTGTGGCACGTAATGGCCGTTAGGTAGTGAGTTTATTTGTATGATGTGCGCTCTCTCTCTCTCTTTCTCACCGAGTTTACTGTTTTTAAGGCATGCATAAACTGACATTGTAGAGTCAACACTTCACGTGATAAGCAAACGGGATTAATGCTGCCAGATCTTTAATGCAAACTTATTTAAAGATGTAGTGGTTTTATGATTTTAATAGACTATTTTTAGGATTGTGTCTTAATGATGTTATCATTTTTATTTTAGTGCTATTATGGGATCATTGCCTACTGACTGTTGCCTGAGTGTCAGAATGGAAAATTATGGATCTTAGAGGTATTGTTTAAAACTAAAAAGAGTTTTTATTTCTATTTTAATGTGTGTTTTATTTAAAGGATGTTTTATTCTGTTTGTGATTTTTATATTCTGAGCTCCTGTGTAATGAACTCTGTTTTCCTTTTTTAGGGATGTACAGTTGCTGTTTACTTTAAAATCTAATATAATAGTTTTGTTATTGAATCTTTTTCTTTTTGATGTTTTGTTGAATGCGGGTTGTTTATTATGCTGTTAGTTTGACAACTGTTTGTATTTTGTACTTTCCTTTGTTATACTTTTCTTTCTTTTGTAGGTTCTATTTTGGATTTGCTTTATACCATCAGTGGCCAGTGGGTTCTCTTGGAAAAAAAGGTGGTTGGGATTGTGTGGTGATTTGGTCACATTATTGATTTTGTGTTTTAGGTTGCAGTGTGATTGCTGTGAGTTGAGTGCGGTGAGAACATTGTTGACACATCTGTCCTCACTTCCTGAGGAACCAGTGGCCATTAGTGGTTTGTTTTTTTATTCTTTTGTTTACTTTCCCTCCTTGTTTACATTTACGATTAAGAATACTTGTATCTTGTTATACCAACTTGTATAAAAACTTTAATTGTTCTCCTGATTGTAAGTCACTTCATTTACCCTGCGCTAACTCGTTTTCACTGATAACAGTCATCTGGTCACACATGTATTATCTTTCACACACAAATTTCTACAGTGGCTTAATGTATTACAGTATTTTTACTAAAATGTCTTTCCAAAACAAGCATAAACTAATAAAAAAAAAAAGGAAAAAATAAAGTTTGCAATTTCCTTGTTTATTCAATTGAGTTCCCAGAAGCTTTACAAAAAGTCATTTGTTATTCAATGTTCAGAGTCAAAAATATTAAACTTCTAAAAAATCCTCAATGAAACATTTTTAATGACAGATCTCGCTAGTTGTAACGAACAGTCTGACACAGAGGGATCCATTTGCAGTATATTTATTATAACAGAGTTTAATAACAAACAGCACACAGATGTTAAGCATGTGCAAACTCACATAAAACACAGTAGTAGTTAGTCAAAGGGCTGGTGACTGGCAAACACAGGGTGAATATTCAGGCATGGGTCAAACTCAGGCAGCGAAGATCAAAGTCAGGATGCAGGCTAGAGTTCAGGGCAGGCATAACAAAGTCGAGAATACAGTCCAAAGTTGTCAACAGGAAAGCAGGCAATGATCAAGAACCGTTCAGTAGTGTTAGCCGTGGCAGAACAAGACTTCGCACTGAACTGTAGTGAGAGTGTGGCTTAAATAGGTGAGTGTGGGTCGTTATCGGGATGAGGAACAGGTGTGTGTGCTTATCAGTTTAAGTGGCTGATGTAATGTCTAGAAATCCGGTGATGATGACCTCTGCTGGCCAGAGAGGGGAATGACTGGGACCGAGTCGATGACACAAGTCCTGTCATCATAGAGTTTAAAGAAATAAAATTAAATCAAATGTAAATAATTGAAAATGAAATGTACACTCATTTAAATATTTTTAAATGCATTTAAAATTGGAGAAATATATTTCGTACGGTTTGCAAACATCAAATAAACAGATAAATCTCATGAATATATTTAACAAATCATGTATGTGATCACTGGATTCTTCTCAGTGTAATAATGAAATAGATTTATGTTACTTTGTTTAATAAATAATTTCAAAAAATACTTAATAATGAATTGTATTTGACCATTTCAACGGTCACGTCAATTAAAGGTAATAATAATGACCATTAGATTGTAAAGCCCTTACAGTTGAAGTCAGAATCATTAGCCCCCTTCTGATTTTTTGATTTTTTAAATATTTCCTAAATGATGTTTAACAGAGCAATTAAATATTCACAGCATGTCTGATAATATTTTTTTTTCTGGAGAAAGTCTTGTTTGTTTTATTTCAGCTAGAATAAAAGCAGTATTTAGTTTTTAAGCTATATTTATTTTCGACTGTCTAAAGAACAAACCAAACAAAACTTGCATAATTACCCTAACTTGCCTAGTTAACCTAATTAACCTAGTTAAGCCTTTAAATGTCACTTTAAGCTGTATAGAAGTGTCTTGAAAAATATCTGGTCAAATATTATTTACTGACAGGAGGGCTAATAATTCTGACTTCAACTGTACATTTTAAAAGGACTACGAATGCATTCATTCAACAAGATTTAAGTCATTATAATAAAACTAAATGAATGTCATTTCCACAAAAAGAAAACATCTTGAGAAAAACACAGTTCTAGATCCACACTGCAATCTCACATGAGAACTTGATTCACATTTATTCAGATGTGTTATTTTAGTCACAGTTGTAGATGTTCTGTAGCATTAATGTAAGAGAAAAGAGGCAAAAAAAAAAATCTCCCCATTACTGATTCTTCATTCAGCTTAGAGGATTTTAAATAAAATCACTCTATAATTTATGCTACAATCTATCTATGTTTCAGTTTCACTGATGATCCAAAGCCAACAGTAAACCCAGGGAACAGCGGCTGGGTGAATGTCGTCTGGAATGTGTGAATCAGGCTCATTTCGTCAGACACGTTGTAGAAGGACAGAGTTCCCGCTCCTACATCCACATATACTCCTATTTTATGGCTGTTAGGCTTTACAGTTAGATCAGACTGAATATTATTGTGCCAAAATAAATATCTTAATGGAGAACAGAACAAACTCCAGGAATGGTCATTTCCTCCAAATGCACACTCATTACCAGTTCCCGTCCTGCTGATGCTCTTATAAGATGCTGATATACATACACCTTTATCTCCACTCCACTCCACCTCCCAGTAACGGCGTCCCCGCACTCTCTCTGTACACAAAACCTGAGGCCAGTCATGAAATCTGTCTGGATGATCAGGATATGGCTGCTCTTTTTTAGTACAAGTAACAACTTTTCTTTTCTTAGACAGACATTTGTGAGCTGTGTGTAAATCCAGAGTGAGCTTAATGGAATCTGCAGGAGAGAAAATATCAGAATCAGCAATGATGAATCTGCTTGATTTTTTTTTTATCCTTTGGCATTGTTCATTTGAAAATGTACACTTTTGTGGATTTCTATGTAATTAGAGTCCTATGTTTCTTTTGCTATTTTTTATATTTGATGCAGCTGCAAGGGCATCTGCTATGTAAAACAAATGCTGCATAAGTTGGCGGTTCATTCCGCTGTGGCAACTCCTCATAAATAAAGGGACTAAGCTGAAAAAAAAAAGTATATATATATATATATATATATATATATATATATATATATATATATATATATATATATATATATATATATATATATATATATATATATATATATATATATATATATATATATATATATAATTATCAGCCCCCATCTGTTTTTTATTTTTATTTTTCCCAAACAATGTTTAACAGAGCAAGGGAATTTTCACAGTATGTCTGATAATATTTTTTCTTCTTGAGAAAGTCTTATTTGTACTATTTCAACTAGAATAAAAGCAGTTTTAATTTTAGGACAAATAATAATTAGGACAAAATTATTAGCCCCTTTAGGCAATTTTTTTTTTCTGATAGTCTACAGAACAAACCATCGTTATACAATAACTTGCCTAATTACCCTAACCTGCCTAGTTGACCTAATTAACCTAGTTAAGCATTTAAATGTCACTTTAAGCTGTATAGAAGTGTCTTGAAAAATATCTAGTAAAATATTATGTGCTGTCATCATGACAAAGATAAAATGAATCAGTTAACAGAGATGAGTTATAAAAACTATTATGTTTAGAAATGTGTTGAAAAAAAATCTTCTCTCCGTTAAACAGAAACTGGGGAAAAAATAAACAGGGGGACTAATAATTCAGACTTCAACTCTGTATTTATATATATATATATATATATATATAATAATAATAATAAATATTATTATATATATAATAATAATAAATATATATATATATATATATATATATATATATATACATCGCGAAATGTGGAAGTTTTTTCTTTCCATTTAGCGTGCATTATTAAATTCCATAACACTCTCACCAATCCTTACTCCTTATTTGCGTCTAACACCTCAGTTTGTCACCGTTATGAACTACATTTTCGTGAGTTAAAGTTAAACTGCTGAACTCCAGTTAAAGTCAGGCATCCTGCTGATTTGATTCAGAAGGGCACTTTTTTGTCAGACGGCTCATCAGTCAGGAATACATCTGTGCTAAAATATCAAGGTGAAAGTCATCACAGCTTGCGTAGAATAGACCTAGCTCCCAACTTAACTTTGAGAATAGATCAATGGCGATATTTTTTTAGCGTGCGATAAAAGTAACGCAGCACGTTAACGCCAATAATGGCCCACCACTAATATTTATATATAGACAGATTTCCCATAATTGTCCATCTCCACCTAGATTTTATGTTAATTCATGGAGCAAGAGAAAGAGAGAGTGCATGTGCAGGTAAATGACCCTCGAAAATCTAATAGCTCTTAGTAACATGTCATCACCTTAGAATTATAAGTTTCTATCTGTGTTCTGAATGATTTAATTCTGAAATGTATGCTCAATATAAATCAAAAATTTTCTCACATTTGCAAATTGGGGTAAAAGAAACAGGGCAAATGCAGATAGAACCTTCTTATTCTATTTTCCTCTTGGAATTATAAGGTTCTCTCTGGCAGCTCATTAACTGAAGGACTACTTATCAAGAAATACATAAAAAAATGTAAATGAATGTTAAATGAAAGTTACTTTTTTGCTTTCTATAACATTTACTTAATGTTTTAGGGTGAATATTTGTTCTTGTTGAAATTTAGCACACAAGGCTATGTTAAATATTTTATCCAGTGCCGCTGTTAATTTTATGGAATTAACATGGTCATATTTATTGAATTGCATGCTTTATATTAACTATTGATTTTATGCTTATTGAATTTTATGCTTAATATAAACTTTTGAATTATATTTATTGAAGTATTTGCCCCATGAATTAAATTAATTATTTGCCCCTCAAGGCTTAATATCGAATTTAAAGACTTTAAAAGAAAACACACAATGAGCAAATGAGTTTAATAAACACTGAAAAGTGTTTCACTGACTATATATGCACAAATAAAAAAAATGACATTATTTAATAACTTTCTTTTTCAACATTGTAAAATGTAACATTTCATCTCAATGTCAAAAAAATGCTTCAAATGCATCACATTTACATGTCTTTTTACATCTTTTCAGGTTTCCTCTCAATTTTGTGTAGCGTAGCATTATTTAGTCAACTTTGATTATGTGTTTCTTTAGGCTAGGGTTCGACCTTTTTTTTTTTTTTACTTTTTTTTAATCAAAATTCTTAAAATGTAAACAACTTATTTAAAAAAATCACATCCTATTAATAAGTTGTTATTTAATAAGAATATATGAATAATTTGACACAAATGTCAGATAGAATCTAATAATTCTAAAGTGACGATGTGTTGCTACCTCTGTTCTTTGTTGTTCCCCAATGTCAGTATTAAGGGGGATTGAACCACTGAAGGCATATGGGCTGTTGTCAGGATGAACTCTGTTCTTCTTACTAACCAGTTAATGGCTTGAGGCAATTTTTGTTTTGTTTGTATTTGTCTTCTACTGTGCTACAGTTGAAATGTTGTTGTATACATTAAATATGTTTTTGAGCTTTGTTATTTTACTGTCTGGCAAATAATATCATGCTATTTCTTGACTTTATATCATAAGATTATTCAATGTAATGAAACAAGAATCTCGTTTTAATTCTTAATATAATTTTTTGCTAA